TTTCTCAAAGGTTGACCGGTCATTTCTTGAGCTCAACCCGTCTCTTTGGTCTTCTTGAATTCTTCACAACATTAGGTGATATTTTGGCTATCGCCCAAAATGTGACCGGTCACTTTTTTAGTGGAAGTGACCGGTCAACTTTTGACCCGTCCCAATCGAAGAGTTAACCTCATTTGGTGATTGATAAAAGTGACCGGTCATATTATGACCTGTCCCTTTCGGTTATCCGGGTCGGGTATAAGGATATACCCATCAGTCTTTTTTTTCCATTCCAAAATAAGTTGTCTGTTAGTTGTTTTCGTAAACTTTTAAAAATAAAATACCTAAACTACCCCTAAAATAAGTCATTCTTTTTCACCTTATCTTCTCATTTATCATCACCCCTTCTAAAAAATAATGACAATTTTGAAAAATCAACTCTATTTTTTATTTTCCTTAAATATGCCCAAAAATCAAAACAGACGATTTAAATTGGGACGGAGGGAGTACTATTTTTCGAGAAGAATATTTTACAAGGAAAATGACTTCCCATGAAATTTTTTTCCCCTCACAAGTTCCATTGTTTGGTACGAGTAGAAAGGAAATTATTTTTCTAAAAAAACAATTTAAATTCTTAAGATTTCAAAATTAATATTTAAAAATATGTTTTAAAAATAATTTTAAAGTATTTTAGTAGAATGAGGGCATGCAACATAGGATAGAGATATTGGCGTGGAGTAGAAGGTAGAAAAAATAAGGGCAGATGACACAAGTTGGCGAGTGGTGGAGGATAGTGGATTGGGGGTAGGGGACGGGGCTGAGGCGGGTTGGGATGGGTGTGGACGAGGGTAGTGGGGGAGGAAGGAAAGTGGGGTAGGGTAGGAGGGGGCTTGAGATAGAGGTGGCGCGTGGTAGGGGTTGGGGGCAAGTGCAAAGAGTAAGTTAAAAATTAAAATTATCTTTCGAAAGGAAACGTAACTTATTATTTTCTTGATAGAAGACATTAGAAAATATTTTCCTGCTACTTATATAATCAAACAAGAGAAAACAGAATCAAAATTTTTCAAAAAATTATTTTCTCTCCTACCAAACACACCACACATTGATTTCTTTTGTCTTTTAATTTTAGTTTTGTTAAATTCTCCAAAATTCTCTCCAAAAGCCGTCATTATTTGTCTTATCATTTTTTCTAACCTTTACAATGTGCAAGGAATTTGATAATAGAAAAAATACAATATGAAAAATAATTCTTGTTGTTTAGTTATAGAAGAAATGGAAAAAAAATGTAGAAGAAAAAAAGAGTTACTATTAACAAACTATACCAATACAATTAGACATCCAAAATGTTTGATCACTTTACTTTGGAGGAGGTTCAGTGAAAACCTTCATGAGAAAGGCATATTCATAAGCTGCTTCTTCACAATGACCAAAACGCCCTCCCTCGCGCAAATGCCCTCCGCTCATCTCTGCTCGCAGGACAACAGAAGGAGAACACATCGAGCACGCTTCGTCTCGAACCTTGGCAACCCACTTGGCTGCTTCCCATACACCAACCCTGGCCACATTATCATTATTATCACTGTTATCATTAGCAACACAATGGTTTTTTTTACTCTGGTTTCAAGTGCCACAATATAATACCAGGACTTAGTCCACTATTTACCCAAAACTAAAATAACATAAAAATGACTCTTTTAGCTCCATTCACAATGAACAAGTACTCCCTCCATTTTATAAAAAAGAACATGAAGGTCAAAGGAGAGAGATGATGAAGAGAGGGTTAGTTATACCGGGAGTCGTTGTACGAGGCTGTAACGAGCATAGCAGGAAAGCATGGTCCATGAGAAACATTGTCATATGGAGAATATTTGAGGATGTAGTCATAGAAAGACGCGATCTGAGGATTCCCAAATTCTTCATAGTCAGAGATTGTGAGAGGCAATGTAGGATCCAACAATGTATTGCATATATCCAAGAATGGAACCTGCAGATCAATACGGTTTTATATGGTCTGAAGTATGAATGTAATCAAAAGCAAATCTTTTGCTTTGATTTTTTCCCTAATCCAGTTTGTGTTGGATTTTTCAAGAAGGAATTTTCAATTTGTTTTCTTTCTTCTGCCAAAAATCGCCACTTGCTTTCTTTTATTTACTCCTTAGTTCAATTTATCCCTCCTAATTACATTATTTATTCCGTTGTACCTCAGCAACTCTACAAAAAGGACCATTAGGTTTTATATAGGTAAAATTAAAAGCATTGTGCAAACCTTTAAAATTGCTGCCCGAAAGAGTCCGGGATGTAAGTTGATGGCTGCCCCAACAAGAAGACCTCCAGCGCTAACTCCACAAGCCCCAAGCTTATTTTTATGGGCATACCCCTCATTAATAAGGTACTGTCCGCAGGATACAAAGTCATAAATGGAGTTTAGCTTATGCAATCCACTCCCACATTTGTGCCATGAGGGATCCGGACCATCACCACCTCTGATAAAGTAAGAATATATGTGAACCACACAAATATGACCAAATATGTTGTGGGACAAAAATAGGACAGACAAAGAAAAATGTGAAAAAAGGGCGAAAATATTGGGAC